ACTCAGAGCGAGGGTGAAATATCATGCCCCCTGCTTGGGAAAGTAAGTCCCTCTTGATAGGAATCTCCATAGGAGACTAGGTCTTAGAACCACACTTTGGCTAGCCAGTGCGGGGCTAGTAATAATAGATGAGCCCCTTCCTGGCAAACCCTTTCCAGAACTCCCGGGAGCATTGATATCAGGCGGAAAGCGTACAGGTTCAGGTTCCCGAGAGGAGCTAGATATGCTTGGGAGAACCAAAGTGGACAATGGGTTGTATCGTAAGATGCAAAAAAATCGACCCGGGCTTGACTGAAGTTCTCCCATAGGAGCTCCACCACCTCGGGGTAAGTCTCTATCCCCCAGGCCTCAGCCCCTGTCTTGACAGTAGGGGTGTGCAAAGCAGCCGGTATTTGTATCTGTATTTGTATTTGTTCAGGGGAAAAGTATTTTGTATTTGTATTCGAGTAAAATTCAAAATGGGCATAAAATCTTTAATTTACTTTATAGTGTATGGATTCTTTAGTTATATCCATTATAATAATATGGATATGCAATATTGGTGTGATGTTTTTTCTATAAATCTAGCAATGAACATGTAACAAGAAAAAGTAATTGAAAAGAAAATAACAGTCAGCCATTACCTCATGAACCATGGTTAAACCAACAACTAATGAAATAAAATTGTGCACATTATGAACCCCAACACCACGGTGGAGGACGCTGAACAGACAGAATAAGTTAGGGATAATGTATAAGCGAGGAGGTTGATTATGAGCCCGACAAGAAGCCGAAGCCCAAATAAATCAATAATTTGACTCAAAATATGGATATTAAAAAGGAGTTTATTGATTTAAAAAACGATTGTATCGCTTCCGCTAAAAAAGAAAATAGTCCGTTCTGTCTCTACGTTTAGAATCCATGGCAACGCTCTGTTTTTCATGGCAACGGTGTGTTCTACTTATAAGCAGCGGCCTGTTATAATAACAGACCACACTCTACATTAGAATTCAACCAAGCCATATAAGAAACAAATAATTACCGTTACCGAGCTAACAGAGCTACGTAAACAGAGCGAACATGAGAGCACCCGTCTGCAGACGTCAATAATGGAATATACTCCAGATCAAACTCCGCTTCCCGAAAGTTATAAACTGCCTCCGGAACTTAGTTAAGGTACAAACATCTATTCAACAAAAATAGTGATGCAGTTAAGTGTTTTTTCGCTCAGCCGAGCCCTCTTCTGTTGCTGTGTGGAGCAGCCTGTGTCAGTCACCTCTTCCTGAACGTCACTCACTCAACTCGCGCACTGCGGTCTGAGGAACGCAGCTTTTTGATATAAAGTATTTCTTGTTCCCGAATACAAATATTTTTTTAAGTATTTGTTCGGAATAAGTATTCATAAAAAAACACATTATTTGTGCCTTTCCGAATACCGTATTCGGATTCGGCTCCACCCCTACTTGACAGGATATTTGCTTCTACATTCAGACACCCTGGAATATATACTGCCCTGAGTGACAGTAATTTCGGATCTGATAATCCAACTTGCATAATAATCGGGACCTCAGACCCCCCTGATGGTTGATGGTTGATCGGAACCTCAGACCCCCCTGATGGTTAATGTAAGAGACCACCAATGTGTTGTCCGTGTGGACAAGCACATGACGGCCTTTCAGATCTGGTAGGAAGTATTTGAGAGCCGGAAATAGTGCCATCATCTCTAGTTGATTTAAATGGCAAGATAGCTGATGGTCCTGCCAGAGACATGTTTCCAAGCGACACTCGTGACTCATGACCATCCCCCAGCCTGTAAGGAAAGCATTCGCTGATAGCGTAATGCTTCGACAAGTAGCCCCCAAAACTGGGCCCTGGGCAAGGAACCAAGATTTCTTCCACATGACCAAGGCACTTAGGCATTGCCGCTTGACCTTGATCGTGCAAAACGGATTTCCCCTCGGAGAAAACCCCTTGGTTCTGAGCCACCACTGCAGAGGTCTCATGTACTGAAGGCATTGGACGCAGCTGCCATCAGCCCCAACAGTCTCTGAGGCTGTTTTACAGTGAGTGACTTGCCTAGTTTTACATTCTTTACGGCGGTGAGAATCGCAGAAATACATTCAGGAGAAAAACGTGCCTGCATTGTGGTTGAATCCCACACCACCCCAAGAAAGGTGGTCCTCTGTGCTGGGAGGAGCACACTCTTCTTGGTGTTTAGCCGCATCCCCAATTTATTTATGTGAGACAGAACGACATCTTGATGCCGAACTGCCAACTGATCGGTCTGAGCTAGAATCAACCAGTTGTCAATATAATTTAATACACGAATGCCCTGGAGTGTTCGAGGAACCAGCACTGTATCCATGCATTTTGTAAAGACCTAGGCCAAACGGATTTTGATAAACCTAGGCCAAACGGATGGACCCAATATTGGTATGCTTCGCCCCCGAAAGCAAACCTCAGGAACTTCCTGTGATGAGGATGTATGGATTCTCTTGGTCGGCGTTACGTCACTAATCATGTGACCTGCATAGCAACCATCCACGAAGAGTAAAACAAACCGAAGTCAATGGCCGAGGCAAATCAAAAAGGTATCTATTCACAGAAGTTTTGCTGTGGATTATGTCAGTTATGGATACTAACGGATAGGGGTACACCCCCAGGTGTGTTAATTTAACACTGGAGTTTTTGCTGTGTACGAAGTGTGTAATTAACTGACAAGCTGAGCCATATCGCATTAAATATCGCTGGTGATATGTCCTCGATTTTAATGCGATTTGGCTCAGCTTGTCAGTGATCTACGGCTCTTTGTACTAGGGCTGGGCGATATATCGCATGATATTGTTATGCGCATCTAATCAGTAAAGCCGGTTCCTTGATTAGCAGTAAATCACCTTCACCTGTTTTCAGGTGGACGATATGAGTGTTAAATTAACCCCCAAGAGTGTTAAAGTTAATGAGATAATTAAGTGATTAATTTAGTGATGATTGAGCATTATTGAAGACACCTGATGATCACAAGCAGAATCACTGAAGGACAAAATCACAAATTATAAGTCACCGTTATGGAGATCAGTGTCTGCTTTAGTTGGGCTCTTGACACTTATAGATACAGTCGGTTGGTCTGGGAACGCCCCCGGGAACGCCCCGTCACGTGGTGTGAATTTAGCCCGTGGGGGAAAACATTGCCTTGGCGCTCATTGAAATACATGGGACAATCATGCCGAAGAGTTGCTGTGTCGTTTTCTGTACCACCAATAAACTAACAAATTATAAATTGAAGTTCTACAGCCTTTCTTACATACATACAGAACCGGATAGGAGGACAAAATGGCAAAATTAATCATATCTTATTAGATTACTGTGTGAGTAGAGGTCCCTGTGTGATATAGTAGTAGATGTTTAACTCGTATTAGGCAGTGGGCCAGATTTGTCTGACTTTACATCCCTTACGGAAAAGAACTATAGTAATCCTATGGCTATTAGTATTCTATAGTAGTGTATAATACTTCTGTGATGTTCTTTAATACCTCTATACTTCTAGGCTATGTCCCAAAATACTATAGTATTCATATAGGAATATTAACCCTCTGAGACCTAAGGGTATTTTTACAATAAATTTTCCGTCTGGTGTCATTTACTAAAAAAGCTTGTAAAATATCAACCCTTTGGTGCACAGACAATTGACACACCTCTTTTTTTCAGGACAAATTGAACTTTCAGCATATTTGTGTTACATTGATGTCACCTGAATGTAAAATAAGTTATGGGACCATAAAGACAAATGAAAAAATAAATCGGAAATGGAATCACTCAATTATTTATTGAAATCACACACAAATAAATAAAAGCTAAGCAATTTTCCTCTGGAAAATAGTTTGTTCATGTCTTTGGAGTCCTGGAGCACAGGAATAAACATTATAACTTGTACAGAACAAAAAATATTGACATTTTTCCAAAAGAAGTCCAGGCGTTTGGGGCCTCATGAAATTCACTGGTGCCAAGCCTCAAAACAGTTCCTATCAGCAATCACACAGAGGGCCACATCACAGGCTTTGCATTTCTATTTTATTTATTCTTTTTTATTATGTTCTTTTATTCTTTTATAATACATTTATACTACTATAATACTTTTTTTACAGTAAATAAGTAAATGGCACTTCAGCTGGGTCTATCCTGGTAATCTAGTTCCTCATCTGTCAAAAAGCTCTGTTCTCCTGAAAATCCTTCATCCTGCAA